CATTTAATTAATATGTATGCTTTCTCTATTTTGACATATATGTGCATATACTTATGAGTACTCCATATATTGCGATATTTTTTTTCAAATTGTAAAGACCCATTTTTTTTTTTGGCATGAGCAATTGGGTCACTTCGGGAAAACATAATGAGTTAGATATTAGAATTTCTTGTCCACATGAGTATTTATAGAGCATGTGTGAAGGAAAAATTACTGGATTATCTATTTTGGGGATATACTTTAGTTTTAAATCCAAATCTAACTCGCTACATATCACAAATCAATCTCTCAAGGAATATTATACCTAGTACATGGTTTCAAAATAAACATTTCCCTATCTGCGTTATTATTTATAGTGCGCAGTCTATTTCAATATATCACCACCACAGCGTACCTCTAAAAAGGCTGCTAAATAAGTCATAGTCTCGGCATATCCTTAGGTACGCTGACAGCACACTTAATTAATGAAGATCGTTTCTCGACATTAGGGGGAGATAAGACTTCAAATTTAATAAAATGCCAAGAAACTTCATAGAATGAAAATATCTTCATTATTTAAATACATGTACTAGTTAGACTGAACTGGAAGTTCAGAAGATAATCTATTTGCGATATTAGCAAATAAATCTGTCAAATACATCTATGATCATATTGATCATAAAAGAGTGACTAGGTCACATATACCATCCTCAATTTGGACCAAATATATCTACTGATACTCCTTGATGCCAAAAGTGAAGGAGATATAACGGTGTAAGACATAAGAATCATTATACTAGGTCTAGTAAATAAACATTATCACTCTTGAAATACCTTGAATAATTATGTCTTAGAGACGTTCGTCCAGGTGACGAAAAACCCTAGTCAATTTATAGGTGCACCAAACAAACATAATACTAGGGATGCGGGACAACCAGACCTGAATATATTTGGGAAATGTCTAGAATCTGGTTGACTTGAATATTGCCATGAACTATTATAAATATGAGAGAAATTTATGAAAGTATTATAGTTGTCGACAACACAATTGCCTTTACAAATTGCTTTGTTATATGATAATCTGGATCCAGAGTTAGGCACCAGAAGTGTCATGACTATTTAACGAAAGAATGAGCAATTAAGGCATAGCTCGACTCGCTAAAATGAATAATTCTCTTTATAACAATACACCGTTGAGAGTTAACCCTGAAAGTTACAAATGGGTGTGTGCATGAAAGAGAAATAAGAATAATAAGGTGATAGAATATGAAGTGAGTTTGTAGCGTATGGGTTCACGCAGAGACCCTTAATTGATTTTAATCAAATATTCTCTCCACAATAATGCCTTCTTGCATGGAGATCTTGATGAAGAAGTGCACATGGTTCTACCTCTAGGATTTGAGGGAAACAAACCTAATCAAGTATGCAAGTTACTCAGGTCTCTATATGGCCTAAAACAAGCTAGTAGGCAATGGAATGCTAAACTTACTAGGGCATTACAGACTAATGGTTTCCAACAGTCTGTTGCTGATCCTTCACTCTTCACTAAGACCACAAAAAGCTCCATCATTGCCTTATTGGTCTATGTGGATGATATTCTTGTAGCAGGTAATGATTCAGTTGAGATACAGAGACTAAACAGATGCTTGATACTTCTTTAAAAACCAAGGACCTTGGCAGGCTGGATTTCTTCTTAGGCATTGAGGCTTACAGATCCACTAAGGGCCTCAATTTATGTCAAAGAAAATTTACCTTGGAGATTTAACATGAGAATTGCTTCCTAGATGCAAAACCTGCTAATACTCCTTGTGTCACAGGATCAAGGCTTACCAATACTAATGGCACATTGCTTGACAATCCTGAGATTTATAGAAGATTGGTTGGCAAGCTCTTATACCTAACCAACACAAGGCCTGACATCACTTATTCTGTTCAGCAATTGAGTCAATATGTGGATAAGCCCAGGGACATTCACCTAGTTGCAGCCCATAGAGTTTTGAGATATCTCAAGGCTTCACCTGGGAAGGGCCTTTTCTATGCTGCCAACTCTCACTTAACACTGAAAGGATTCTCTGATTCAGATTGGGCTACTTGCCTTGAATCTAGGAGGTCTGTAACAGGCTACTGCATTTACCTTGGGGAGTCTCTAATCTCTTGGAAAACAAAGAAACAGGCAACTATTTCAAGGTCCTCATCAGAAGCTGAGTATAGGGCCTTAGCTTCCACTGTCTGTGAGATTCAATGGCTTTTATATCTATTGGCAGATTTACAAACACACATTAGCAGTCCTATTCCTCTCTTCTGTGACAATAAGTCTGCTATAGCTATAGGAGAAAACTATGTGTTTCATGAGCGTACCAAACACATAGAAATTGACTGCCATGTTGTGAGACAAAAAGTGGCAAATGGAACAATCAAGTTGCTGAGCATTCCCTCACACAGCCAAGTGGCTGATGGCTTCACCAAGGCTTTACCAAAGCCATTGTTTGACATATTTCATGCTAAGCTGGGACTTCAAGACATTCATTCTCCAGCTTAGGGGGGTGATGAATAATCAATCAAGTATGCAAAGTATGTCTAGTTAAGCTGTGGTGTAGGTTGCTATGTGGACCAAGGCCTTTTTGGTTTTCTTGCTGGTTAATCAGTTATAACTGATTTTCTATTCATTCATATAGCTTTGTCCTCTTGTAGAATGAGTTGTTCTTTTTCCTTCCCTTTTCTTCTCTGTAATCAGCAGCTCCCTTTCCTGAATAACACAATGTTTCTTCATCTCTTTTGCATTGTGTTCAAACACTTACACTAAATCGTCAGTAGCTTACTCTGATTATAAATATTAGATCAAGCTAATGCAGCTATGTTTTGAAGTTAAAGAGAATTCATCACTATTAATATTGTTGATCAGATAGCAAATCAAAATATTTGTACAATTCTTAAATCCATATGTCTAGCAAGCCTTAAATCCAGCAGATTATATTGTTCATTCCTAGAAGCAGATACAAGACAGTAATTTAATATAGTAATCTATACCCAATTCAAATTTGCAGCTGAAGAAGCTGTGAACCAGAAACCATTTCAAACACCAAAATTGCAAAAACCATCTGCTCTTCCCACACCCTTCTTTTATTGGATTTTGGCTCTATGTGGGCCGATCCGATCATCAGTATTGCAATTAATTAGCAGCTTTATGATACAATACAGATCCTGGGCTGCCAATCTGCCTAAAATCAATTTAGTTATCTTATTTCCTAGTTTATTAGTAGTTGCCTTTTTACTTTAAGTAACCATATTTTAGAATATTGTTTCCTTATGTCTTAAGCTTTTAGCTCCTACATATAGGGAGAATATTAGATTGTCTTAGTAAGTTGGAAACTGAATAAAATCAAAAGGAAGTTTCTTCCTCCAACTTCTCCCCAACTCTCTCTTCTCTCATTCTGTTTTCTCTTCTTCGCGATTGGGAAGAACAGAACCAATCGTTCAAACTCTGTCTCTCATAGGCCCATAACGAGAAGTATATCTCGTGAACATATCAATTTGGTTCCCGTTGCCGGCGTTATGGGCAGTAACATCACTGAGGATCCTGCTTTCAAGGCACTGCAGAAATCTGTTCGCTCCCATGAAGCTTATGCTGACAAAATTGAGAACCTCTCTGCCACTGTGTCTTCCCTCTCTGCAACACAACACCAACAGGCAGCTTCCCTGGTTAATTTGGAGAGAATGATGAAACAACTTTTGATTGCTCAAGGCAAAACGCCAGTCTCCGAAGCTGAATCAGACACGGTGCACCAACTTGAAGGGGATTCTGCCATCCAGGAAACACCAGACGATCACCATTCCCTCATTCGATATGCTAAAATGGACTTTCCATTGTTCTCTAGAGATGAAGACCCAAGTGTATGGCTGCTACGTTGTGAATCCTATTTCTAGAATGCCAACATTCCGGATTCGGATCGGATAAATTTTGCCGCACACCATATGATCTGAGAAGCCCAATTATGGTACCATTCTGAAACAGAGTTGATGAAGTTTCCCTCATGGGCTGCCTTCAAAACAGATTGTTGTCTCAGCTTCGGGCCACCACGTAGTATTAATGCCTTAGGTGAACTTAACAGTTGTTTCAAGCAGGACGGAATATAGACGAGTATGTCAAAGAATTTCGCACGCTGTTAGTGAGAGCAGGGACAGTACAACCCAACCAGCGAGTGGATCTTTTTACCGGCGGATTAGATGAAGTAATCCGTATAGATGTGGAGCGCACCAAACCAAAAACACTAAATGAAGCCATCAACACAGTCAGGGATTTTTCCCGCAAATGCCAATTGTTGGGACTTTTGTCATCCAAGCCTGCACCTCTACAAACCAGTAACAACATTGCCCAGTCATCCGCCCATGTTCCATTACCCGTACGTCCATCACCCAATCAGCAACAACCCAAATTCAAATTCCTCACACCCGAATAGAAGGCCGAACGCATAGCCAAAAATTTATGCTACAACTGTGACGAAATTTTTTTTCTGGGTCATAAATGCCGCCACCTTTTTATGTTGTGGACATTAGAAGATGGTGAAGAACCGCCTGGTGGGCTTGCATCCACGGAGGACTTCCCTGAATTCAACTTGAACGGACGCGATGGAATCACCTAAATTCAAGCTTGAGGACAAGCTTGATCTCCAGGAATGGTGTAATGATACAATACAGATCCTGGGCTGCCAATCTGCCAAAAATCAATTTAGTTATCTTATTTCCTAGTTTATTAGTAGTTGCCTATTTACTTTAAGTAACCATATTTTAGAATATTGTTTCCTTATGTCTTAAGCTTTTAACTCCTACATATAGGGAGAATATTAGATTGTCTTAGTAAGTTGGAAATTGAATAAAATGAAAAGGAAGTTTCTTCCTCCAACTTCTCCCCAACTCTCTCTTCTCTCATTCTGTTTTCCCTTCTTCGCGATTGGGAAGAACAGAACCAATCGTTCAAACTCTGTCTCTCATAGGCCCATAATGAGAAATATATCTCGTGAACATATCACTTTAGAGTCTTTCTTTGCATCATCTACTCCTCATCTTCATCAGAGTTATCTTTAGGGGAGCGAGGCTGTCATGAATCAATTAAAACAAATTAGGATGGGAGAAAAATTAAAGGAGATCAGAGTGAAATAAAAAGCAATTGAGAAAAAGAAATGGAGATTGATGGAGAGACCTTTATTCTGTATTTCTCAATGACAACCATATTCTCGTTTCCATAGTCATGCTGTTCAGCCTCAATTTGCTTGGCTGACATCACTGCAGAAGGAAGACACCTCTTTAATTGGATTAAGTTCAATGTTGGAATTTCTGCATAGCTATTCGGGATCTCTCTCAATTCAGAGCAATCATTAAAGAATAGGCGCTCAAGTTTTGGAAAATTATCAACACCAGCTTCCCAATGCTTGAGATTACCATGCGAAATTTTCAAACAAATTAAGTGGCAGAATTTCACATTCTCTGGTACTTCCCACTTTTTTCCAAGCTCAGAATTCCTTAATTTGAGCACCTCAAGCCTTGGTAACTTGCTCAAAACATTAATTGCCTTCCACTCAGATTTCATTTTACGAAACGTCAGCTTCCTAATGCTTTTCAAGAGAAGAATATTGTTAATGATTTGAGGCATCAAATCCGGAATTCCATCGGTAACAACACAAAGAGACAAACTCTCGAGCTGCTGTAAACTGACAAGGTTCTTAATGCAATCATTGGGTTCGTCTATATTGGGTTTGCGTATAATAATGCGATCATTGGGTTTGCGTATAATAATAGATACCTTCTTTAGGTATGTAACTTTTGTTAAGGACTCTTGATCGCATTGACAAGCCTGCAAACTAGAAATGACCTGCAAGTTTTGATGAACAGATTCGGGAAAAGATCCAAAAGGTTCACGACAGTGTATATACTGTAGTTGTGGAAACTTCAAATGCTTCAATCTTATATCAGCACTACATGTTTGAAGATTCCAAGCGTTGGAGACTAATGAACCATGAAAATAAGGTGAAGTCCTCATTATCCATAGGTATCTCAAATGGATATGAACAGTCGAAGTTCGCGAATTCATTTCAACAACATAGAGTACCCTTAGTAGGCTGAAATTTTCCAAATTTATTGAAAGTTTGGGCCACCGCTGAAAATAAAAGATGGACCGGCAGTGTTTTGACAGAGAATGTAACACAGAGATGTTAAACTCTGACATAATTATCCAACGGACACGTCTCTGAGGGAAATTGGAACCACTTTCGCCAGCAACATGCAAAAGACTCTGGCTCTGACCTTCTCTTACACAAAAGGCATGCAATAAATCATGTACTCTAAACTCCTTAATTTTTCTCCCACAACTACTTCTTTTGCTTACAAGAATTAAGTTTCTATCCATAAGTTCATTTATGTACCTTTTAGCCACCGCTTCAAAACTCTCATTCTTGAATGCCTTTACCCGTCCTTCCGCCGCCCATAACCTTGCAAGGTTGTTAGCATTGATCTCATCATCTTCTGGAAAAACTCCTAAATATAAAAAACAAGCTTTCAAATTATGGGGCAAGTGACTATAACTGAATGAGAGGATTTTCCAACATTCATCATCATCTAGAGTTGATGTTGAAGTAGAACTTATTAGAGCATTAGCAGTTTTCTTCCACTCATCAAGTGTATCGAGTTTTGAAAATAAACCTGCTATCACAAGAATTGCCAAGGCCAGTCCTTTACATTTCTCAACAATTGGTCTTCCAATTGTCTCAAATTCAACACCATGAGATTTGCATGCCTTTTTATGAAATAATTCCCAACTTTCACTTTGATCTAAAAACTGCAGTTGATGCGAAAAGTAATTGTTAGAGCCAATACAAGTAGCCACCACTGCAATGCGAGTAGTTAACAATACTCGACTCCCATTTATATCATCTGGAAAGCAAGAGTTAACATCATCCCATGACTCTCTACTCCATACATCATCAATCACTACCAAGTACCTTTGACCCTTCAAACTTTGGTAGAGTTGTAATGCTAGGTCCCCATCAGTGCTATTGTTTACATTGTCTTTAGAACCGAGAAGACCTAACAGCATTTGCTTCTTATTGTGATGTTGTGATACAACAACCCATAGTCGTCTGTCAAAGTGGGAGACAGTTGATGGGTTTTCATAAACTCGTCTTGCTAATGTTGTCTTGCCAATTCCTCCCATACCTTGAATTGAGACAACTTCTCGTTGTTTAGATGAATGTTGTATTAGCGTCTTCATTATAATGTCGAACTCATTGTTTTTCCCGACCATTATGTCCTCAGTGTGTGAAGCACAATTGGAGGAACCGGAACCGTCCGTCTTGACAAGTTCATCATCAAGTTCATCAACAAGTTTAGTCTCCCTTCCTTGCACAGCTATGACATGCTTGTACTCCATCATGACTTTCTCCAGCTCTTCTTTAATGGCATAAATGTCTTCTATTGCTTGTTGCAATACATGACTTAGGGTGTGTTTGGTTCGCACATAGGAAGATGTGCTCCAAGTCCTTGGGCTGTTGAACAGAATCCAACCACATCGGGGGATAGTTTTCTTTGATGGAGATGTCCTGGTGTCAGCAACGGGAGCAATCGAAGGATTTGTGTGAATAATGGAATGGTCAACATTACTCATTTTAAACCGAATCTTTAACAAGAAGTTCGTACTGCCTTCTTCATTGAAGTTTCCAGATTAGTTACTTGGTTTTGAGCCTAGACCATCCGAAAAAGCTGCTTGACCACTGTGTTCGCGCCGGCGGTCCAACAAAGAGGCGAAGTAGTGGTTCGGAATCGGAATGGGTATCAAATATTTGGTAATGGTAATGGTAATGGGTTTTGGTGAAAGTATTTAACATGTTTGGAAGTAGGGTGGAATGAGAATGGTTACTAGTAGTAGTGCTTGAGAATGAATAAGGGAATGAAACCCTTATTTTATTTGGGTATGGGTTTTTCAATTGATGGGGTATTCGAAACCCATAGTAGTGTTCTAAAAACCTATCAACCAAACAACAACAATCACTTTCATACCCATTCCTATGGGCAAAACCCACCAACCAAACACACCCTAAGTCTATGACAATGCTGGGTTTTCATGGCTTCAGTGTCCCCTTGTCCCATTTCCTCGTCAGCTTCTTTATAGAGATGTACCACATGGAGTTCAATTTCATCTTCTACTCTGAAAGCTACATCTCTGAGCTTTATTTCTAAGTCTTTAATTGCTTCAACACCATCCATTCTTCTCTCGTCGAACAGTTGTATCAGAAAACCAAGCTTTGAATGGAGAGATTGGATGAGCTCTTTGTTAAAAGGGATGAGTTCCATTTCTTGTAGGATTGGACGAGGCTCAGGTGGCAAGAACTCAAGCTCTAATGTTCTGATAAGAGAATTTACTGCCACACAAGCCATTCTTTTCTTTCTCTCAATCTCTATCTCTATCTCTCTTAGTTGGTGTAGGTGTGAAGATTAGCAGAAGCAAGATGAGTGGAATTGGTAATGCCACTAATCTGATCAGTGCAATAATTCCTTGCCGACAGCTTTTTTTAACCTTTAGCTTTACAGCTCAAAGTTTCCACTATTAATGGAATAATTCAAAAAGTCGGCATGGCCTACTGCTTTTTATTTTATTTTATTTTATTTTATTTTATTTTTTTCCACCCATCAATCAAATACCGAAAGACCATTGACGTGACTAAATTTTAATTGATCTAAATTAGTTTTATCACGCAAAATGAGATTATCAATGGTATTATCTTCTAAATTTGCAAAGTCTGATTGGTTCGTTGAAAATATTGGAAAAGGAATAGAATTGAATTGAAATTTCATTAAAAATAAATTACAGAAAAAACTAATTACATTATTTGGTTGGTAGAAAAAAAAATTACTAAGAATATTGAAACTACTGTTTGGTCCAATTTGAAATTTTAAAAAATAATTAATATAAAGATCAATATATCCCTCCCACAATAATAAAAATAAAGGTAATTAGAAAAATCGTTTTCAAAAAAAAAAAAAAAAATCAATGAGCACAAAATTGTCATACTAGTTTTCCATAAAAAGCAAAATACGGGGGTGTTTGGTTGGACTTGGATGGAAAACTTTTTTGTAAGGAAAAAGATTTCCCTAAATTTGAGAAAGATGAAATTTTCGTCCGTTTGATTCATGACTTATATTATTTGCCTTTGTGATTCATTCTTACTTTTATTATCATTATTATTGACTTATTGTGTATGGACATATAGATCTTTATACTCATAAATTTTTTACAATTTCAAAATAAACTAAATAATGGAATCAATATTTATAGTGTTGTAAAATATTATTTCTTGTAGCCATTATTCCATTCCACTTTCCTATTTTCTAGGGTCATGGATTGATAGTGTAGGTGTGGCCATTACCCCTTTTTCCTGGAGGATGTATTGTATTCAGTTTTACTCCTATGATGGATGACTTGTATCTTACATTGGCGATGATTAATGGGAATGCGTTTTCCTGGGCTCTCTGCTTCTTCTCTCCTCTCTCTTCTATACAGTGCCGATCGTATAATGATGTATTTTCGCCATACGATTTCCCACAACAAGTTATCAGCACGATTGTTCTGATGAATGTATGTCCGGTAAGAAAAGATAAGCGTTGTTTCTTGGTTTACGCCATCTACGTATCAAGTTTCAGGCTAAATCGCCTGCATCACCGGCGCATGATGGTTAGTTCATTGATTTGTCATCGCCGGTGTTTTGTCCCCTTGGCAAGTAGAGGCATTGCTATGTTTTGGTACCAACAGGAGGCGACAGGGTGAGCATCGCTTGAGGCTTCGGCGTTGGTCACTCGTAGCAGTTGACTGCGATGAGGGGGCGACTATAGTCGTGCCGTCCGAGCCATGATCGGACATCGGGATCTCCAACAAAGATGTCGTAGACGAGACTTTGGGAAGATTGCGAAAATAGGCAGAAGGCCGCCGATCTTCGCGAACAGTCTTGCGACCAAGAAGCCAAGGCGAGGTCCGGCGATCCGTGAACCAAAATTAAGGCACAAAGGGCCAATTGCACCAGGAGCGCAAATTATGCCGTGCAATCGTGTGCACCATCATGGTGCACATGGTTGCAAAACGGCGTCATTTTGATTAAAAACGCGTTTTCCGACTTTTAAAAAAAATCCATTTTTGATGGCTGTTAACGGCGTTATGCCTTGCATAATTTGCGGTTTCCTTTCGCATTCGAACTTTCCATTCGCGAATTTTGGTAGTTTGGATGTTAGTCTCTCTAAAATCGCAATCGCAATCGCAATCGCAATTTAATATCAAAGTCGCAAGGGTGTTCTGATGTCGTTTATGGATTCTTCAATGGAGGAGGCAACAAATCAGAGAGATCAAGCAGTTGATGGATTGCATATGATTCCAGGTTATTTGCAATTGATTTTGTCGATTTTTGTTAATTTGCATTTGATCATTTGTGATTTTTTTATGGTTTTGAGATCTTTTGCGATTAATTTGTTTTTGGCAGTATGATTTATTGATTTTTGTGTTTAGAATTTGCTAGTTAGATTGATTGTTTACAATGTAAGTGATGTTTGTGATTTTGTATTGGAGATTATTCACAAGTTGGGGTGTTTATGTGTTTATGATTACGGCAGTTCGTTGCGCCTGTGTATTTCGAATGAATGAACTATATATCCAGAATCAATGAACTATATATCCCGAATTAGTGAACTATATATCCTAACCGGTTATTGATACTCAGTTTTCGATTGTAACATAAATGTCCAGAAATTGCACGTTACATGTTCATAATTTTTTATGTATATATTCATAATTGTTGAAATTGTTGATTTATATTGCAGTGAGAGAAGATTTTGTGGTTGATTCATTAAGTTCAGATCAAGTAGAGTTAGACATTGATGGCTCTTCTTCGATTCTAGGTTTATACCTAATTTTTTTTTACATCCAATTAGCAAATCAGGTTGATTTTGGAGTTGACTTTATTCTATGTGTTGTGCTGTGTGGTTGATATCATGGAATTTGTGATTCTGTATAGAGATTAATAATTTTTGAACTGTATATTCATAATCGTTGAACTATAAATTCATAATTGTTGAACAATATATTCACATTGTTCAGCATTGTTATATTTTTATTCTTTTTCCATTGAAAGTGTTATTCTTTTGTAGAGCATGACTGGATTTATTCGGCATTCCCCCCCCCCCCCCCCCCTCTACTTAGAAATTATATTTTAATGGAACGGTTATTATTTGTTATACTTGAGGTTATATATTGCATTTGTAGTTGATCAAGATTTTGTTGGTGTTGTTGTAAGTAATGACGATGAAGCTTATGAGCTGTATAACAATTATGCATATAGAGTCGGTTTTAGTGTGAGGAAGGGTAATCAACGTTGTAAGGCATCTATTAACACAGTTCAAATGAAAAGGTTTTCGTGTTCTAAAGCTGGTTATAAGGTTAAGGCAAACACTGGTGTTAATGGTTATTCAAAATTTGACATAAGGACAGGGTGTGGTGCATTTGTTCAGTTTGACGTGGGTGAGGATGAGTTGTGGACGGTTACAAAACATGTGAAAGTGCACAATTACGAGTTATGTGCGTTAGACAAGAGTCATCTACTTCGTTCACATAGAAGAGTGGGAGATAATAAGCTTTTATATTTAAAAGATTTGAAGAAGAGTGGCGTTTCATTGGCAGATGGTATTAGGTTTTTGAAACACTAATCAGGGGGTCTCCATTAATTGGTGTCACTAATCGAGATGCTTATAATTCGCTGGCTTCTGATACACTGAAGCATTTGGATGGAACTGATTCGAACTTATTAATTGAAATATTTAGGAAGAGGCAGTCTACGTGCTTTTTTCTTTGATTTTGAAGTTGATTGTGATGCAAGACTGTGCAGCTTTTTTTTTTTTTTTTTGAGGGATGGTCAAATGAGACGGGATTATGAGTTGTTTGGGGATTTGTTAGTGCATGATACAACATATCGCACCAACAAATATGATATGATTTGTGGCCCTTTTGTAGGGATGAATCATCACTGTACGAACGTAATGTTTGGATGTGATTTTTTGATGAATGAGAGGATAGAATCCTTTGTGTGGTTGTTTAGAGCATTTTTAAGATCTATGGATGGCAAGTGTCCACAGTCTATCATGACAGATCAATGTGCAGCTATGGCTGTTGCTATTTCTCAAGTGTTTCCAACATCACGTCATCCTCTTTGCATATAACATATCGGTGAGAATTTGAAGAAGTATATCAAGACGTTAAGGAATAATAAGGATTTCTTGGATATGTTTAACTGTGTGTTGAAATACATAGAGACTGAAGCTGAGTTTGAATTTTCACTACAAGAAAAATGCACATAGACAACACTAGAAAGACAACAGTTTTTAAGAAAAGTGTTGTCTTTTGTATAAAAGACAACAGTTTGGTCCAAAACCGTTGTCTTTGATGCAACACTTTTGTCAAAGACAACGGTTTTTACTTAACCGTTGTTATAAGTGTGTTGTCTTTGTGCATTTTGTGAAAAGACAACACCACAACGACAACGGTTTTTTAAAACCGTTGTCTATGTGCATTTTTTTTTAAAAGACAACGGTTTTTTTAACCGTTGTCGTTGGTGTGTTGTCTTTAAGCGCACTAGAATACACAACACTAGAAAGACAACGGTTGTTTAAAACCGTTGTCTTTGTGCGCTCTTTTTTTTTAAAAAGACAACGGTTTTATTTAACCATTGTCATTGGTGTGTTGTCTTTAAGCGCACTAGAATACACAACACTACAAAGACAACGGTTTTTTAAAACTGTTGTCTTTGTGCATTATTATTTTATAAAAGACAACGACTTTATTTAACCGTTGTAATTTATGTGTTATCTTTAATAGCACTTGAATACACAACACTACAACGACAACGATTTTATATAACCGTTATCGTTGCGCGTTCTTCATTTGTTTAAGACAACTGTTTTATTTAACCGTCGTCTTTGGTATGTTCTCTTTAAGCGTATTTGAATACACTACCGTTGTCTTTGCGCATCATTATTTTATGAAAGACAACAGTTGTATAAAATATAAACAAGGATGTTAACAACAACAGTTGAACCTACGACCTCAAACATTGCAATTAAAGTTTAACCAACTAAGCAACACAAACTTTTATATATTAAAGTGCAACATGTGGTATATAATTGGGTTGTTTCTGTGTTGTCTGTGAAAACCAAGACAACGATTTTATAAAATAGGTTAAAAATGCCTCTAAGAAGAATAGAACTCAAGACTTTTAACATAATCAAACATAACAAACTAAGCTAAACCCACCAAACCACACCAACACTTATTTATTAAAGCGCAACATCTAAGATATAACGAGTTTGGTTCTGTGTTGTCTCTGAGAACCAAGACAATGATTGTATAAAATATAAGTTAAAGGATAGAACCCATAACCTCTAACATAACAAATAAAGCTAAACCCACCAAGCCACACCAACTCTTATTTACAAAAGTGTTACAGCGTATCTTTTACCTATAATTTGGACCTTCATTGTTTTTGTTAAGAGATGAAAATAGATGTTTA